AGTGAAAATAATAACCAGCCGTTGTATCCTATATCTGCGTCATAGGCTCTGACTTTAGTCACCAAATGACCTGCGTTCACATTACGGGGAATCTCTTCCACACCCTCAGCAGAACCGTTAGCGCTGACTGGATATAAGATCACTGGAACGTTGTCGTTCTGATCCAGAATAAACACGTTCACTGTCACGTTACTGCTCAGAGACGGAGTTCCAGAGTCTTTGGCAACAACAAAGAATTGAAATGTTTTTAAAGACTCAAAATCAAAACTCTTTAACGAGTAAACGGTACCATTCGCCTCATTAATACTCAGGAAAAATGTCATTGTTTGGTCTGAATTAATTCGATCAATTGAATACGATACACGTGCGTTTTCACCTTCATCTATATCAGCTGCACTTACTGAGAAAACAACAATTCCTGGTTTGTTGTTTTCAACCACGTAGAATGCATATGGGCTTTGAGCAAATGTGGGGCTGTTGTCGTTAACATCAGTGACATCGACGTGAATGGATCTTGTTTATGTTAACGACGGAGTTCCTAAATCTTTGGCTGTTATAGTGACATCATAAGACGATTTCGATTCTTTGTCGATGTATTCTTTAGTTACTAAAGAATAAAAGTTTCCATCAGGAGACGGCTTGAGGTCAAAGGGTATATCCTTAGGCAGAGAGCAAACTATCTTTCCGTTCATACCTGAATCCAGGTCTGTAACTCCCATCAAAGCTACTACAGTCCCAGGAGGCGCATCCTCGGGAATGTGACTGGACACTGAAGTGACGTCAATCTCAGGCCGGTTGTCGTTGACGTCCTCAACATTTACAAGCACATTACACTGTGTAGACAAAGACACGGCTCCCTTGTCCGCAGCCAGTATCTTTAGCTCATAAACCTGCCTTTCCTCAAAATTTCGCCCACCTTTTATCTTTAATTCCCCCGTCAAACTATCTAAATCAAAAACCTCAGATGCTCCGTTCCTGAACTTGTTCCGTAAAGAGTATTCAATTTCTCCGTTTAGTCCTTCATCTGAATCTGAAGCATTAACGCGGAGCAGAAATGTACCTTCGGGGGCATTTTCTTTCACAGTCACTGCGTATTTTTGTTTATCACAGACGGGAGTATTATCATTAACATCTGACACAGTAATTGTAATATTCACAGTAGCCGATTTCTGTGGCTTGCCACCGTCTGTCGCAGTTAATATTAGATTATGCCTTGCGCTTTTCTCTCTGTCAAGAGGTGTTTGTAAAATAAGGACAGGTATCTTACCTTCGTCTCCCATGTCTTCCGTTTCTAAACGAAAATAAAGATTTTGGCTCAGTTTATATGATTGCAAGTTGTTTGCGCCTACATCCGGGTCGTGCGCTGTTTCTAACTGAAATCGTGCACCTGTCATTGCAGATTCAAGTATTTCCAATTTATAGTTTTCGTCCAAAAAACTCGGTGGATTATCATTGACATCGATAATGTCAACTGATATCTGGTGCATTTCGAGTGGATTTTCTATCACTGCTTTCAGATGAATGAGACATGGGTTGGTTTTAGCGCACAGCTCTTCTCTGTCTATCCTCTGGTTCACAAACAAAGCGCTGTCTTTATGATTTACCCGAAAGAGCTCTTGCTTTGTCCCCGCAACGATACGCAAATTCCTGTTTTCCAGTAAAGCCTGATCAAATCCTAAATCCTTTGCAATGTTCCCCACAGTGACTCCAGTTTTTGATTCTTCTTGAAGAGGATAGTTTATCTGGGCAGCATTTCTTCCGGAATTGAACAGCAGACACATCAGATAAAAAATCTTGCTCATCCATATTATTTTATTTTCGCTCGCCATGCTTTCTCTGAACACCGCTAAAAAATAGTTGTAGCAAATGCGGTCAACTCAATTATGCTATTGCAAATTACAAATTAATAGACAGATCTAAAATCGTCCTGGTTGTTCATTGTTCAAAGCCAAAGTGATGTCTGACAAGACATCCCACGAAGTGAATCTGCTGAACACGACTGTCAGAGATGATTGGTATTGTAGCGCCACTCACAGCGATTTTGTAGAACTGCATAATTTCCTTCACAGTGCATCTTATAGTGATGTTAATGTGGATCAAAAATGAATAATAATAATAATTATTATTATTATCATTATAAATAATATTATACAATTTACAATTATACTGTTTATAATTATAAAATTGAGGCATCACAACACCAAATGCACTACTACACTAAAAGAGAATCTCATTAGATTAAAAAAAAAATATATATACCTTTTTAAAAAATGTCCTTTCTTGAAATACGAAGAAGGATAGAGGTCTGATGTAAGAAGGCAGGTCTTATAAGAAGGCAGTGGTCTGGTGTCTAACTGCATGGTGAGCAGTGACACCTTGTGGTTCAGTTACACAAATCACGTGACAAACTCGGCCCCACCTGCCTCTTTTGTTCTGCTCTCCCTCCCACCACAGCTGCTTACGTATGAGCTTTCCCACAAACCTCATACCAGACAAAAGACACCAGGGGGCAGAGCGAAGTGATTCACGTCTCAAGTTCTTTTTTTACGGACGTACTTTGTAGTAGTAGAGATCAAATATACACATCAATCACACATGTTCTCATATCATATAAAGGCGGTCATAGATTTTTATACATTTGTGTGTTTACAGTGTGTGTGTTTGACATAGACTGCCCGGATCTGGCGAGTTGAGCCTCTTGTCTTTGCATCAAATTACAGGCTGCAGCATCATGCACCCCCTCCCTGCCCGCAGTCCGTTACCGTGGCAACGGACATTTGGATAGGCGGGTCGCTGTCCGTGGTGCTGAACATTGCGGTCCCCAGAGGAAAGCGTTAATGAAGGGAGGGGTTTGGGAAGACCTAAGGAAGACCAAATAAATTCATCGCTTACGAAAGAAATCTCAGTGAAAACACTGTTATTTATTTATTTATTGAACATATTTATATTTTTTATCATTCCGTATAAAATTATTCTCTCCTGTTTAACCCACGTTCCACCGTCTGTCTTTTATTCGGTCGCTATAGAGACAGGCTCCTGTTGCCTAGAAACCAGCAGTCAGCTGGATTTCTCAGATTGAGGCCTTTTTCCTCTGCAGTGTTTCAGGAAAGCATGGCTGTTTTGATGGTGACACAGTTAGCTGAATTGTGGTTTAGAGAAGGCTTGACAACAGGGATATTTGTGTGTGTGCGTGTGTGTGTGGAACTTTATGATAAAATGCTGAGGACAAATGTGTATGACAAATGAAAAGTGTGTGTGTGTGTGTGTGTGTGTGTGTGTGTCTGCTGCGGTAGTTTTTAATAGTGCTGCAGTCTCTCTCTGTGCTGTAAGGCAGGAGGAGAGAAATCTGGGTCAGGAGGAAAAGAGAAGCAAAGAGCAGTTACTTGTTTTTTTTGTGTGTTTTTTCGGTTTGTTCTGACCCACATCACAGAACCAGAACCAGGCAGTAAGCCAGCCAGGGCAGTGGTTAATGCTTTATTATTTCTATTTAACATTTGTTAGGATTAACAGAAAAAAAGAGTTTGTGATGAGAATCCAAGTGTGGTTTTATAGTGAGTTTTACATCTAAATAAAAAAATTCAGATATGAAATGTGGTCTGCCTGATTTTCTGCAATGCATTACATCATCTGCAGTGATGACCTCATTTTTACCCACCCAAACAAAAGCACACTCACCTACCACCGCACACAGATGAGAATCATGCAAAGAAAGAAGATTCATATAGGTCACTTTGATTGTATCACTGATGATCAGAAGGTAGATAAGTCATAATCATAAACACTGTCTTTCTCTTCCCGGTTTAAAAGATAATCATAATAGTATACTGTACAAACAACATGTTTTTATTTTTATTTTTTTACCTGAGTGCATGTGTTCAATTGGGCTACAGGATCATTGCTACTCACATACTGAGAAGTCATTTAAAATCTGAAATCATATTACAAATGCAATGTCCCATCAACGTTATGTACTTCTGAATTACATGGAGAATGACAGAAATCACATTATTTTCAATTAAGTTTTTATCTATTGTAAATATGCAGTACAAATACATCAGTAAATACTCATGAGCAAAGAGGGTCTGGTAGTTTCTCTAAGGCAGATCATGGATGTGTTTAGCTTTAAGTAGGCAGTTTGTCTGCTTTAGAGCACAACTGCTGGTAGAAGATGAATTAGAAAAACATTTGCTTAACTGTATAAAGATTAATTGGATAGCGGGGGAATGAAAAGGAAATATATGGGACTACAGGGCAGTGCTGTATATAGGTAGTCCATTTTTATATCACAAAATTAGGCTTTTGGGTAAATGAATTCTAGCCACTTTTCTGTGCAGTGAGAGACGAGTGACCTACTTACAGCTGCTCACACTGACAGACATATTGAACTTTAATATTTTGTCATTCTACTAAAATGTATCTTTCTTTCTCTCTGATTGTCTCACATAATGTTATCTTACAACACTGCTCATGTCTGAGCATTAGCCAATCCTCTGAGACAGCTAGTTAAGAGCCTTAAAATGATTACTTCCTGTTTAAAATACCACATGTAAACATCCAGCATTTGTTTCTCTAAAACAGAAAATCGAATGAGAATTGGGCAGATGAATTTTGTAATGTTGCATTGCTTTGACAAAACACACATGCTGTGCATTTCAGAGCGAGCCAGTCACTGAACTGACCCCATGACACCCTGACCTTTTGACCTGCCTGGGAAAACTGCCATACCCTCAGGAAGTTAGGAATAAATGACACTGCAGAAAGGCTGGAAACTATCAGAAAAACAACAATACCATTTTGTTCACTGAAATAAAATATTGATGTCCATATACTGCACAACTGATATAGCCAGCACATATAAAATATCAACAATAAAAAAGCAGCAATATGAAAGTTTATATTAATGCATTAATACTAATACACAATATTAACATCAGAAATTGAAAATAAAGAGAAGAGAAAATAATATTTGGCTAGTGCATTTCAATGGTTCATTTTTTTCCCAAAGCATTTCCATGAATATTAAACACATTTCCTAATATTAGATAATTATACAGTTGATAAGTAAACATTAGCAGTTCATTAGTCATTTTTCTTATTTTAAAGCAAATAAAACCCATCCACCACCTTGAGTGCTCTTTACATTTAGCCTTATTTCAAAGATTTAATGAAGTCTGATGGTTAATCTCTGAAATATTGTGGTGTTTTTATAAAGGACAAAATGAAGGAACTCGCTGTTTAACAGTCTCTATTAGAAGTCAGTGGGTTTTTATCTGAGACAGAAATCTTGGGCATCAGGGAGAGGCTACTTAATGAATCTCCTAAACTCATCTTAGAAACCGCTGTGACCTTCAGATGTCTGCACTATGACATCACTGTGCTGTGTCTGCGTTTGTGCATTCATGAATGTCACCAGACACCACAGAGGAAGCAGTCATGATGATTTTACAGCCTCCACTACACTCTATGATCATATTAGGAGAGATCATAACTACAATGATACTCTACACTTTCTGAGTCAGATCAGTGCTTAGATTCAACTTGATTCTTTACATACTGAAACGTAAAAATACCAACACAAACAGCAATACAGACATAATACAACATTACAGAGATAAGCAAAGACTATACGGCACCACAAATCAAATTTGCTGTGACCTCTTCTGAATACACTGGATAATACTTGCATTATTCTGATAGAATTCTTTATGAGATCCAAGAAAACACATAAGAAAGGCTTTATACATCCATTGCAGGGAAAGAGAAGCTTTCAGTGTCCAAATTCAGTCTAGCAAAAGGTCCACACTCCATCTCTCAACATGACTGAATCATTTAATCCTCTTTGTGCTCGTTTAATATAATTCACATTGCAAAAAAAATCCCATGTCATTAGTGTCTACTGATTAAAAATGTTTTTTTTTTTTTTTTTTGCAATTCAGTGTCCACACCAGTTCATATGAGAATATTCTGTTAATAATTTCTCTCCCCAATGTCTTTACCAGTCACTAAATATAACAAAGAAATATAGGGGAACTCTAACCATGCAAACACAAGCATACTGGTTTTGCAGAACAGTTTATTTGATAAAGACATGAGCTGTGCTGTTTGAAGACATGCATGTGTGTGTGTGTGTGTGTGTGTGTGTGTGTGTGTGTGTGTGTGTTCACAGATCCAGTCCAAGTCCAATCTTGACCAGTCAGGCTATCTCTTAGTATCATAGGCAAAAGATCTTCGTCATTCCTCTGGTCAGACCAGGGCAAACTCTCCAAACACTGATGTGAAGATGTAGGCATCATTCAGGGTTGGGTTCAGGGTTGTATGATGGTGCAGGGGAATATGATGGATACAGGTGGACAGACATGCAGGTTGATGGAACTTTTTTCATACGTTGCTCTGGCAATATGGTTGGGAGGATCATTCTCAGGTGGAACTGCTGCTGGTGGTGGTGGATGCCTGTCAACGAGAAAGAAATACTGGACGTAAGAGGCTAGACTTCAGATATTACTCACTTAGTGAGAGGCCAGAATCTGAACACATCTCATGCAACCAAGGCCTGTCACTTAAAGGCTTCAGGCAAAACGGAAGGTGGAACCTTGGTTTGATTGACAGGTGACGGTGGGTGGGTTGATCAATGAGAACCATGCTCAGATATCGGGTGGTTGGGGTGATGGAAGGGCAGCGAGCTGAAAACTGGCTGTAATTTGTTTTGCATCACTCTGATTCATTTGTGAAGAGAAATTCAACAGAACCAGTATGTGAAATTGGAATCCACCAGTCAATTCACCAACCATTCAAACACACAAGTAGACAAACCATCCAACAAACAAGCTGAGGAGCTCAATGATGTTTAGTAGATGAACAGTCAGTACATATATCATTAAAAACCAGATCATGCACTAGAGCCATATTTGCTAAAAACAATCTTCCTAATCAGTGTTTAAGGGAACATTATTCTGCCATTTACTAACCCATCTGTCATTTCAAAACGTTGACTTTTTCATCTGTGGACAACAAAAAAAAAAAAACAATGTCCTAGATGCTTTTTTTTTCAGACTATGAAAGTGAATGAAAACAGACACTGTCAAGAACATTTAAAGATAATAATCACTTGGTTTTTAATATTTGTTGGGAAATTTGACAGCCTCCATTCCTTGTCACTACCATTGTAGAGAAAAAGAGCAGCATAAACATTCTTCCACAAAACAAAGAAAATCATTTGAGTTTGGAAAGACATGAGGGTGAGCAAATAATCAATTTTTACTTCTGTATGAACTTTCTTTAACTGATTAAGTAATGTATTTTGGCAGGATAAATTTATATGAGCAACACTTTCACCCCAGCCACTGTCAATCAAACCATAGAGAATCAGTTATTATAAGCATTTCTGCTGGTCACAGGTGTCTATAAAAGGTGGGGTTTGTGAGGCTGCATAACATAATTTGTACTGAAAAAAGGTACAAGTTTAGTTTAACAATTGAGTTCCACAAGTAACAAATAAAGACTGCAAAGTTTAAATCTAGCAGCCTGTACATCTAAAAAGCTCAGAAGACCAAGTGAAATGTCAAACTGAGTGTTGACCTGTTAAAGCATTTATCTGCATCTAAACTGAACAAAACTGATTTGAATTCAGTTGTATAAACTGGCTCCTTGGCTCCTCCTACAACAGGACAAGGCAAACTCCACTGACAAAAACCACCAACCACAAAGAGAAACACACAGAGTCACATATATTTCAGTAAAGGTCAGTGGGCCCTGGGATCAGGCTCTCCAGAAATCGAGAGGATGGTGAAGTCAGGGCTGCATACCTCCAGCGGGAGAGGGGACCTCGTTCATTTTGAGTACTTTAAAACGGAAACAAAAACAGAGACATACATTTCAATATTTAGCTTTCAGCACAATCATTTTGATGAATTTCACTGAACACGTTTCTGTCAATGAAACCTCGATTCACATTGATCTTTACTTATTTATACCAGTCTAAGCTTGTTTTTTTAGATCTACAGTGCACTAACAAATCAAATCAAGAAATGATGTTCTGTTGTCCTCTTTTTAAACATTGTTGTCTGAGACAGGGACTCCAGGTAACCTGCTACACATGTGAAAAAATGTTAATGCATAACAAATGAAGCAAAACAAATTACATTATACAATTCAAAAAGAAGCACTAAGAATGAGAGCATGAGAGGAGAGACAGATTAAAATACATTGTTTACATGAAAAAAGGCTGCACAAAAAAGGGAAAAGTTAAAGACTTCCTCATTTTGTCTTTCAATGACTTACCTGTCCTTCAGGTAACACTCTCTAACAGAAGAGAACAAGTTAAACAAATGCAAAAGAAAAAAATCATGATCATACAAATAAACAAAGCTAAAAAAAAAATAGCAAGTGCCTAATCAAATTCAAATTTATCATGTTCAGTAAATAAAACATTATTTATCCATGTTCACTACATTTATGGAAAATAAATCAAAACGAAAATAACAAATTATACGTTGCTTGACGTCGCACAAGTGCTACTGCAAGGAATTTATGCCAATGCTAAGAAACACAGTGGACCCAAAAGTTTTTGGATACTGAAGCCACACTTTAAAATATAAAAAAAATAAATAAATACTTTGTTCGTTTATGCAATAAAACTCATGCAAACCAAGCAGCAACTGCCAAAGTTTGACTGAACTATCCAGATATTCGTGGGGCCACTGTAGTGTGCTTTGTTTGTGTGTGTGTGTGTGTGTGTGTGTGCGCG